GGGGGGGGGGCGTGGAAAGAGTAGAAACTGGCCAAATAGAGAATAGAGAGAGATGCTGGTGGAGTTAGTCTGCTAGAGTTTACAGTTTTCGGGTGCGGCAAAATGTACTCTGTAGTGGACTACCTCCCCAGCATGTTATCTGTTATCTCTCTATTTGGCCAATTGAGTGTTCCAAGCCACCTCTCGAAGCCTGGTAGAGGCTGCCATTGTACGATCTGTAATGATAATATACCATTCATAATTTTTCATTGCCAAGACTTAATATGTTAGACCTCTGTTTTTCTGTTCATTCCTCACCTGTACTCAAGTATATTGAAACTGAGTCGAGTATTAACGCTAAAAACCCTGCCCGTTGATTTGACCCACCCGGATAGCGGCATAGTTGTACCCCCGCACGTGACAGAAGTCCAGACAGTCTGCGGGAGACGATGACGTCATGGTGGGCCCGTCCACACTGCTGTAGTCTCCTCCCAGGCTCCCGTCCGCTGGCGCGTCGTTAAAGCAGCCGAGACTCATGACGCCAGGAGCTGTAGGAAATATCGAATCTTTATTTTCATGTTCATGCCCATGGGGCTAAATGCACACATCAGAGTGTGATGTTACATGTACATCATACTGAGTAACATGATACATAGGTTAGAAGGATAAAAGAATAACGTAAAGTCTTAGCAACTACTAAAAATACATTGTATCTAATCTAGGTCTTGAAGATTTCTTCTCTCTTTTTGAAGCAACTGGAGATGAATTTACATAGTTTTTCTATTGTGTGATCATTATCAGAACAAGATGGTAAAACAGCCAAGACTCATGACGCCTGGAGCTGTGGGGAAAAACAACATGTCAAAGGCAAAATCTACCACATTTCAGTTGGATGGCACAGTTAGTTGTGGTCACTTTAAAAGTTATGGAATTTCAGTCACACTCTACATGTACCATTGGGTCACCGTTGAAAGAATGCTATGCTGCCATTTGTTTGGTCAAAGGGGTTAGGACACTGTACCGACTGTCTACAGTATCCACGACCTTTTTCCGGGCGGGGTGACAACACAAGTGAATTGTGTCCAAAACTACCGTACGAATTCCCCCTTTTGCTATGAAAATCTTACGCCAAAAGCCAAACGGGCCCTAAACTGTAAATCAAAAGACAACCAGGTGTAAAAAAAAAAACAAGACAAATATAGTCTCAGGTTCATCGCAAAAACAACATCAAGTCTTACGTGTTTCATGCTCTGCATCTTGGAAGCCGAGATTACGACAGGCTACCCTTCCGTTCTGTTGGTTCCACTCCCCACACAGCGGCCTCCAGTAGCCGTTCAGCTGGTCCCAAACCTCCACCCACCCGTCTGTCACGAACAGCCCTCTCTGCAGTCGGACATGAGCTGAGGAAAAGAATTACTTCAATCTTTAACTCTGTCACTTCTTGGGTTTTCGCTAGTTATACTTACGACGGAAGGGATGATGTATTTGCTCTGTTTCTTCTCCTTCTTCTACTACAAAAATAAGGTCAATTACCTGGACCAGACGACTGTCACCATGGTAACTGGTGCTGTAGCAGACACCCTGTGGTGTTGGGTTGCATTATGTAGCAAGTGGCAGGACAGAGTTGGAATGGCACGTCACCAAATGTACACATATGTACATGTATTGGGTAAGAATAAACAGAGCAGTACTTTGCTAGGCTAGACCATGTGAAGGTTTTTCCAATGTTACCTTTCTATATGCTTTCGTATTTCGCAACCTACGATATGTGATAGAGGATGGCACGAGTTAAACGCTAAAGGTACCGTAGATGTGTATGAAAGTTCCGGCATGCACGTATACCGTGTGGTGTAAGGACAGGGTAACTTACTAGAACACTCCTTGCTCTTCGAGCAGGCGCTTCTCTGCTCGGCCTTGCCTTCACAGTTGGCGGGAACAGGACAGGTGCGGGACCGGGTACGGAACCCAGCACACCGGGAACACTTGGTCCAGCTCCCCCACTCTCCCCACTCTACACGGGTACAGAAAACATTTCAATTCATTTATTTAACCAGTAATTACAGCTCAGGCCAACATGGCACACAGTTAGCGAGAACAGGGTAGCTAACAGTTTCGTTCGGCCGTACGCACTAATAACAGCAAAGAAAGTCAACACAGGTCAAGTTTAAAATCCAGCCAACGTGACACATCTGTAAAGTGCTGATCATTGTCTGATGCAGTTTAGTGTAGACTATGTACATGTTGATGTTGATATGCCTACAGCAAAACAAGGTTAAAAGAAGCACGATTACACTAAGAAGAAATTGAGAAAACCACCTTGTCTGTTCTTTTCCATTGTTCCATCATGGAAATCCAAAAATATAACAAATCATAACAGATGGTGATACGTCAAAAATTGGAGTTCAAGGTCATGATTACGTCACCTGGACAGTTCTGTTTCCCGCACAGTTTGACGTCAGTGTCCCGTCCGACACACGTCTTCCCGTCATACTCATCACGGCAAGCGCGCATGCGCCTCTTGATCCCGCCTCCACAGCTCACAGAACAGTCTCCCCACGGACCCCAGTCTTCCCAGGTACCCAGCTCTGTGACAGATAAACAAACAAACAAACAAAAATTACCCAACTCTTGCAGGGAAAAACAGACAAACAAACAAAATCTACCCAAATCTGGCAAAGACAAATAAACACACACGCATACAAGCTCTGTGAGAGGAGGAAATAGATCACAGTAGTCTGCCATCTTTTTACTAAGTAGGTTTTCGTAACATTTTCTACATATAATGACCCTTGGAAAGCAGTACAGCAGTAGCGTAGACCAGAGAACAAAAATATTATATTATTCAGCTTTCAATATTAATTATTAATTATTTTGCTCTTGTAAATTTGTACTGAAACCATATATTCATCCCGTCTGGTATTGATGAGTTTTGATCTTTTCTTACGATTGGTTGCATCAAGATCTAATTGATAAAGTACCCGTTCTATTGGAGGAGACATGTTTCGTGCAGGACTCACAGCGTTAGACTGCCTGACGTTTAACATCCATTATTTATGTCTTTCAGTTTGTATGAGTCATTAAACAGGCTTCTATGGGCCACGATAGAGTCTTTGGTGCTCCTTTGTCACTGGTATAATATTACAACAAAACGTTGCTGAACGAATAACACGGCGTGCCGAAAGCATAATGTTAATCTGTCGTTCTATAACATTCCATTCCATTGAGGCTGTACAGTTTTTAAACAGGATTTGATAGAACTAACCATAGAAAAAGATCTAAGACAGCTGGATTCTGCAGGACACATGACATGCACGACTGTTCCAAGAATGTCCTCGGTTTGCGATCGCACAACAATCATACGTGCCGAGCAACCGTGCGACAATTGTACAACAATCGCACGACGTATGTTACCCTTACCGACAGGTTTGCACTCCTGCCTGTCCCAGGACTCCGACCGGCAGGTGCAGTCCATGCTACCGTCGTGGTCGCACGAGTCCCCGCACACGTGGCCGTTCACGCACGACTCGGGCTCAGAGAAGCAGGACGACTCCTTAACAACGATAAGCATGTGTTATTATCAAAACACGTGGAAATGCATTCATGCTTTTCTTCTCTTTGGGTTTATAGTTGGGTTTTATACATTTCCCCAAAGACAGCTACGAGATTCATATCAGAAACAAACACATAGACTTTGGCTTCTTAAAACGCAATCCTGGTTTTCTGACTTACGAGTTAGAAAAAAAATGTGCTAGGTTCTTGATTCTCTAGATCCTGATACACCGCGATATTCTTTTCCAAAACTGTTGACATGTATCATGCGATTAAGTTTCTTTCAAAACCAGTATCCGTATATATCATACTACTGCCGCAATATTCTTGTCTGAAATACCATATCAGCGAACCCAAGCCTTAGCCATTTTAACTGTCTTTCCAATCATCACATCTGTCTTATTATCAAAGTCAGCGGATTCGCCTTGCCGAGACACATTCACTGATGGCCATGGTCAAGGCCATCACGAGCAATATGCATATAATTGCAGATGCACGATGAAATGTGAATGGATAATGCCACGAGTTAAGTTTTACGTGGGAAAGGATACATATAAAAAAACGAACTTTACGTCTCCCAGACGTTTTGTTTTATCGTATTTTGTTTTTGAAATTTCATTTTAAGGTTTTTGACGATGTTTTAGTCTATTCATCCAGAATAGTTTTTGTTTGTTTCGCCACCATGAAATGAAGTTGTATTGGATGTCTATAACTTCGTGATGGCGTATTGGAGATTAGAAAAGTGTATAAAAGTCGAGAAACTCAAGTGGTCGATGTATGGACCTCTTCTCAGCAATGACACACCTGCATAAAAAGCCCGGGAATTTTCATTCCTAGGCTCCAGTAGATACAAGGCTCGCAAAGGACACTGCGTCAATCTGCTCAACATGCTGAAGGGAGACACGAAGCACAGACGGGCTAGGCCCTCACATAACAAAAGAAACTCCAAGAGCTAAGGGAGCTCGAAAGGCAAAAGACGCAGTGGAAGGAGATGCATGAAGACTGAATGCGGCTACAGGACGTTAGACAACTATAGAATAGAGTGACTGATGAGACATTTTAAATGTCTCGTTTTTAAACCTAATACCGATGATTTTATTGCAGTGGATTTTGTAATATTTGTAAATACTTTAGCAACTTTTTCAATCTGATACATCTGATAAGACGATGTACATATGTAACAATGGGCACAATTCAGCCTACATGCAAGTAGTGCTGCAAAGTCGATTGAACAATAAACCATTTGATGATGATGAAAGTGTATAACTTCAACGCATCTTACCTCGTAGTCGGCCATGGGCATGAGACTGGCGACCTGCAGGCCGTGCAGCGAGTCGTCCTCCTCATCCCTGGGCTTGTCCTCCAGTGCGTCCGGCGAGCTGCTCACCCGGCAGGACCCAGACGTCAGGTTGTACTGGAAGGAGGCGCAGGAGGCGTCTTTAAGACACAGCTCGTGGCAGAGAAGACGATGAGGGATGTCTACAAGGGTCCGGTCTAGGGCCACAGCCTGGGGAAACTCCACGCTTGAGGAAATAGGGTGGAAGCCAGCTTCTGCTGCAGTAGCCAGCATCAGGACCACCACAGCTCCCACGGTAAATCTCACTCTAGCCATCGTTATAGAGGACGCGTACCTGCGATGCGGAACTCCTGAAAGCTGTTGTTGAGTACGTCAACTTGGTCCGAGGTTCAACAACTACAAACCCTGCAAGAGGGACGCGCTCAACCGAAAATTTCTGAAATATGTTTTTCGAGGTTGTCAGCTTGGTCTTGGGACTACAGAGATCCGAAAGCTTCAAACGAGAACCATTGCACAGAGATACTGATGTAGAGAACAGCAGGAAACTCCATGAGATTCAGATGAACGCGAATGTTAGAAAACAGTGGATTTTAGCTGTAGGATGCTTCTTCTGATACAGCTTCCGAACAGAGATGCACCACCATCATGGCCACAGCTCATCTAAACCGCACGTAGTTATACTACTCGTTGCCATGGTAGCGCCATCTCTCTTTGTGTCCGTATTTGACCACTTCTTTGTAGCAAAACACAAACCGTGACATTGTAGCGGATTGGAGCTGATGGCCGTGAAGGATGGTATTCGGGCTGACACGCATCCTGTTGTTCTGATGTAGCGTCTGCACATCATTAAAGGGGCTGACACAGGCCAATTACACTGCCTCTGCACGGAAGCCTTTCAACTTACTTTGTATGCAAAGTGAACAACAGTCTGTATAGCACTTTGAACTAGCCATTAGAAATATGCTTCTATCTGTCGTAGTGACGATATGCTAATGATTAAAAATGACCTCGATCTACAGGCAGGTTTGGTGATATCTTTTATTGACAGGAATGGCCCCCTTCTATAACCATCTAAGGTACAGTAGACATACCATGTAAGGTGCATTAGAATATACAGTTATGTACAGTATCACTTTAAACACAGCGACAAAAATTCCAGTACAGACCCTATATGGAATCTTGATCGATTCTCAAAATCATGATATCTGTGTTGTACAAGACTTCTTACAAAATACAGTGCACTGGAGTATACCAAAGTTTGTGTTATCTACTATTAAATCATTTATACATTGTGTAGTATCATCGCGATTAGCGTCTGAAAGTCGCTTACAAGCTAACATACGTTTACAACTGACGTGTTCTTTTTGTGATTTAAGTATTCGGTGATGACAAATCGGCGTTCTATACACATTACTGAGTTTTTGTTTGATCCAGAAAATATATAATTTTGGATATCTCTAGCAGCAAAGCACATGGGAGAAATATCAGCCGAATTTTCTTGCCATGCTATCGTTAGATCAACAAGTACAAGACATGAACACGTACATCCGTTTTGTAAGATGATGTCGATAATACAACCGAATCTATAGAGTCTAAAAGATGTACACCTGTAACAATTCCATCAGGATGGTGAATGATTGAATAGCAAAGTTCTTAACTTGTTTAACAAGAGCCTACGCATCGGCCATAATTGCCTCGATAAAGATGGCAAACGATCATCGAAACGTCGGCTATAGCTAATGTCAAACAAGTGGTTGTGGATAAAGAACTTCGGTACTCATAAACCGAAGCAATGGCCAAGTGGGTAGAGTGCTCGCCTTGCATTCGGTAGGTCGTGAGTTCAAACCCCGGCCGAGTCATACCAAAGACTTTAAAAATGGTACATACAGTCTCTGCTCAGAACTCAGCATTTGGGAAAGAGTATGGAAGTTACACACACACCACTACCAGTGGACTAGCCCCCTGCTGTAGTGATTACACTGTTGTGTGGTCCAAGGGCTACTGAACCGGAGATGGGCGCCGCCCTATGTACCACGTGGTGCAGGAAGGACTTTAACTAGTCATAAACATGTTCAGTCAAACGCCGTGCCACGTTGATGCAGGTCAAGTTTCAAGCTTATTTATTTTACAATGGTATAACTCTCATCTGTGGATCTGTTTTTCAGATATCCCTGGCAGGTGGATCTAGATGTCCGTGAAGACGCACGACTTGACCTGCTCGCCGACCCCGGGGCTGTCGGTGCAGTTCCCCTGGTAGTGCGGAGACGGCGTGTAGCACTTCCGGGTCCGCCGGGACTCGCCGTTCATACAGGAGCTCCAGGACGACCAGCTGTCCCACCAGCCATGGGCTGAAGCATGCGGAGGAACGGAGGACACAAAGTACAAACAACACGTTAAGAGTTGTAAAGTGCGGTCTTTATGTTGCTGATGTCAAAAGCTGACAACGTTTTCTACCGTTCTATTCTGCTCTATTCTTTTCTGTTCTGTTCTATTCTATTCTATTCCGATCTGTTCTACAATTCTATTCTATTCTACATGTAACAGCGACGTGATGGTCAGAGTAAAAGGCCTTAGGACGTTTGCCAAATCTGCCTTCCAATTGGGTTCAAAGAAACAACATTGAAATCATCATCACAGAAAGGAAGTACTGAGTTAAACAGAACGATGATTGACTGAATTATGATTGATTTAAACTGAATGATGACTATTTGAACGTTAGGTCCCGGTTGATGATGATGATGATGAATGGTTTATTAAGATGGACGAAGGCTGAATTGCTGATTGCTGATTCAGTACGATACAAGCTTACTAAGAACTTGCTCTAAAATACAAACATTGATATCATCATATTGGAATAAAAAGTGTTTATAAACACTTATATACATTCGTAAGATATGAAGTTACTTATGGTTATGAAGATTTATGCCGAACTTACGGACACATCGCACGTAGTTCTGCGTGCTGGTGCCGCAGATGTCGTCAGCCAATGAGGAGTCCTCCTCGTGTTCGCACATGCCCAGTAGCTTCTCCTCCCCGGAGCACTGGAACCTGCCCTTCATGACCTTTGACCCCTCCTGAGGGTGGTAGTGGTCACCTGACATCTTCAGGTCTGACCGAGACACAGAAAAGGGAAGTAATTAAAAGAAAGAAAAAAAAGGAAATTACTAGAGACCAGAGGTTTGAATGCAATAAATGGGATTATTTAAATTTATGATAACGTGTAAGAATTAGGAGAGTTGAAACGGAAAGACACTACTGGTCCCGGGCCGGGGATCGAACCCACGCCAAACCTGGGCACCAGCTTCAGACCCCGACGCTCTAACGATTCGGCTAAAAGGTCTAGACCCATCGGCCGGGTCAGGGGAACAAACATGCTGTTGTGACGCTTGTTTTACAAGTTGTAGAGTGTATGGACTCAGCAATTTGTCTTACGACATACTAAAATAAAAATTATGGACTGCATGCAAAAACGTACAGATGTAACTCCATCCGATAAAAGTTAGAACAATATCCAAGGATTGCACATAACACTACCGATGCCTCGAAACAGACTTACCGTGTATGATGACTTCGTGTATCTCCTTCCCCGTCACTTTCCTGTCCCAGAAGCGGACCTCGTCCACAGTGATGTGTCCGGCGATGCCGGTCACGCTGGTCACAGTGTTAGGGGCTCCTATGGCCAGGCTGGTGTGTATGTCCTGTTGTGGCCATAAGACACACATGTATGCATGACCAATTAACGTTGTTTTACTCAGCTACGTTCGCTTTGATTACATTTGGTTTTAAATTTGATCAATATACCAATGATTACTGAGGGTGGTGAAAGTAGTATAAGAAACCAAAGAGAAATTCAACTTGTAAAGTAGAATGGACGTGTATGCAAAATAGAGCTTTTATCGGCGTTGCCTGCTTTCTACAGGCTGCCTGGAATACTTAGTCTGCTGCAAAAAGATGTACAGTAAACCTGACCGCCCTATTCAAGCTGGCCATCTGGCCATAACAATCACCTTTTTACGGTCCCTCAATCTTTCCCATATGCGTATAAGCATTAAGCGACCTGTCCAAGAAGACTACTTTGACTAGGACCCCTGGGTGGCCTTTTTGAGAGGGTTTGACTGTATATGTAGTTGTTAGATGTTGTCAGTAGTGTATGTTAGATACTAACCTCCTCCAGACTGCTCGGCCTGGCCTTAGACAGTGTGAAGTCTATGTTAGATACTAACCTCCTCCAGAGTGCTGGGCCGGGCCTTAGACAGGGTGAAGTCTATGTAAGATACTAACCTCCTCCAGAGTGCTGGGCCGGGCCTTAGACAGTGTGAAGTCCACCTCGGTGCTGTTGACGAAGACGCTGATGTCGCATGGCGCCTTCCAGGACAGGGACAGGTGCATCCAGACGCCGATCGGCAGGGCGAAGTGCGTCTGCAGGGGAGACAACCAGTCGGTCGCTTAGCAACAACGGTATGTCACAGAAAGTATATCTCCACTAATAAAAGTCTTGTCATTCACGGGTACCCAGTGGTCTATTTTTTGGAACGTTCGACCGAAAAATATTTAAACCAACTTTAAGGGAATAAACATCGAATTACGCGCTTGGCAAACCTAGGCAGCAGTGAGAAGTCCAAATGATGTAAGTATGGCAGGGCGTTTTCTTAATGTGGTGACAAGTTTGTGATATTATAACAGGATATTTCATCAATAGTTCAACTTCCATATGCTAGTGATATACAATTGTCATACATAGTATCTGCTACCGTTGTCGTGCAGCAGACTTTTCACAAACGTTTATTTGGTATTTTGCTCACCCTGCACCAGGCGTCCTGGTGAGTTATCCAGAAGCCCGGTCCGTCCGGCGTTTGTTTGTTTGTTTGTTTGTGTGTGTGTGTGTGTTTGTTTGTTTGTTTGCTCACCCTGCACTAGGCGTCCTGATGAGTGACCCGGAAGCCCGGTCCGTCCGGCGTTTGTTTGTTTGTTTGTTTGTTTGTTTGTGTGTTTGTTTGTTTGCTCACTCTGCACCAGGCGTCCTGATGAGTGACCCAGAAGCCCGGCCCGTCCGGCACGTCGTAGTAGAAGTTGAAGCCGTACGAGGAACGGGTGTGTTTGTTTGTATGTTTGTCTGTTTATTTGCTTGTTTGTTTGTTTGTTTGTTTACCTACCCTGCACCAGGCGTCCTGATGGGTGACCCAGAAGCCCTGCCCGTCCGGTGTTTGTTTGTGCTTGTTTGTTTGTTTGTTTTGCTCACCCTGCACCAGGCGTCCTGATGGGTGACCCAGAAGCCCTGCCCGTCCGGTGTTTGTTTGTGCTTGTTTGTTTGTTTGTTTACCTACCCTGCACCAGGCGTCCTGATGGGTGACCCAGAAGCCCGGCCTGTCCGGCACGTCGTAGTAGAAGTTGAAGCCGTACGATGAGCGGGTGTGTTTGTATGTTTGTTTATTTGATTGATTGTTTGTTTGTTTGTTTGTTTGTTTACCTACCCTGCACCAGGCGTCCTGATGGGTGACCCAGAACCCCGGCCCGTCCGGCACGTCGTAGTAGAAGTTGAAGCCGTACGAGGAGCGGGTGTGCCCGCCGGTGGACATGAAGTACCGGTCCGACGGTGGCATGGTCATCAGCTTAATCCACATGCCGATGGTGAAACCCTGATGGCGACAGCAACAAGAAATCAGAGATTCGGAACATACAAACCTATGATGAATTAGCGCCGCCCAAATACTTCCGTCCCGTTCCCGTTTCCCACTATTCTATTCTGCTCTGTTCTGTTCCATTCCGTCCCGTTTTGGTCTGTTCTATTCTGTTATATTCTATTTTGTTCTTTTCTGTTCTGCTCTACATCTGTTCTGCTCTACATCTGTTCTGTTTTGCTCTGTTCTGTTCTGTTCAGTCCTACTCTATTCTATTCCATTTTATTCTATCCTAACCTCCGGACAGAGCGTGGTGCTGCCGAGACACGTCCCGTCCAGCTGGCCCGTCTTGACCCACTGGTTGGTCCCGTCCAGGTAGAGCGCCTTGCCGACGACCCCGTCCGTGATGCCGGCGCCGTTGTAGGTGTGCACCGAAGGGTTCCCCACGATCTCCCCGGTCTCAGGGCGCTTCTCGTCCATAGGGAAGTACATGCTGTTACCGAGAGGTGCTGCATGGGGGAACAAAGAAAAATAGCTGTTAGGTAAGGAAGCTGTTGTATCTAGAATCGTGCTTTCTTCCGAACTATACGCAGGCACGGTTCCGGATAGCCCACACGTATCCGGAATTGTGCCTGGGGGCAAATCTACGTTCCTTGATGACGCTGCAGCTGAGACAATCTAGAACCGTGTCTGATCCTAGCCCTGACACACTCAGGCACAAGACTAGACAGGGACCGTTCTGGAAACAATAGTAATCCACGGTATTGGAAGGCGGAGCCCATCCCCCCCCCCTTCCACTGCCTTTTACGTCCCCAACTGAAGTCAGCTACACACTCAGATGGAAGGGAAGAAAGTATACCACATAAAGATTCTCTAAAACGAATCAGAGGAAAGCAACTGGGGACGTGATTTTACGTTAAGATGGCTGTAGAGCCATGTGAGTACCGTATGTATAAACATCGTTCAGTTTAGTGGTTTGTGAAGTTAGTGATGTTAGCTATGACTGCAGGACGATGTAAGAACTGTATGTGTAGACATCGTTCAGTTAAGTGGTAAGTAATGACTGCAGGTCCATGTGAGTACCGTATGTGTAGACATCGTTGAGCAGGCCGGATGTCTGACTGCCGCATGTCCAGCTGTCGGCGTCGGCACACGGCGCGTCGCAGGCCGACCGGTCCGCCTGGCCGTTCCGGGCGTATCCCCGTCCGCACTGACAGGCGTCGCCGTCCTGTAGGGAAGTGAGAAAATCTTTTTTAAACACAGGAAAATTTCAGTCCCATAGATTGTGTTAGGCAGCTTTGTAGCATTCTTTATGCTGATGTCACATTTCCAAACCGGAGATATCAAAAATATTATTACGCATGCAAATTAAATAGTGTTTTTTTGTGCTATGTTGTCTTTTATAGATTACACTTTTTGTTCCATAAGTTTGCCTGGGTGGACCCCGAATTAGAAATGTGACCTCAGCATAAGTGAATGTTGTTGTTCTCGTAAAACTGCCGAATTAAGACAAATGGTCTTGCCGGACAGCCATACACTTTCGAATCTGCTTTGTAATGTCTGTTGATTAACCTTTTCTCAAAAACTCACGGTACTCAGTACATCTTAGTGCCATGGTTTTAAGATTGTGCTGCACGTATATCGTACACTATCAAAAGGATTCCGTACGTACCCGAATGGCAGCATATTTGAAGCCCCGCAGACGACAGAAGGCGAGGCAGTCCTGGGGAGATGATGACGTCATGGAAGGTCCGTTTAGAGTCGTGTTCCAGACGTCAGCTGGGCTCTTGTCACCCGGGTCGTCAGTAAAGCAGCCCAGGTTCATTATGTCATGGGCTGGGGGGAGAGAACACCCGGGTCGTCAGTAAAGCAACCCAGGTTCATTATGTTATGGGCTGGGGGGAGAAACATGCAATTGTGGGAGCAAAAATGATAACATGATCTAGATAGATAACATTGGCAAATCAAATCCATCAATGTTTGCCTTCACATATGGTCTGCTCTGTTAATTCTGCTCTGTTAATTCTTACTCAAACACACACACACACACACACACACACACACACACACACAACATATATATATATATATATATATATATATATATATATATATATATATATGTTGACAGGAGTCTAAATATCTCCTGCAAAATATAAAATTGCAACATGATGTAACCCAACACTAATTACCATGGTGACAGACTTCTGGTTGAGGTCATTGACCTTATTTGTTTAGAGAAGAAGAAGAGGAAGAAGAAACAGAGCAAAAACAATATGTTTCCCCCCTGCTAGGGTCTTACGTGTGTCTTCTTCGACGTCCTTAAATCCGATATGTCTGCAGACAACCTTGCCATCCTGCTGTGTCCACTCCCCACACAGCGGCCTCCAGTAGCCGTTCAGCTGGTCCCAAACCTCCACCCACCCGTCTGTCACGAACAGCCCTCTCTGCAGACGGACATGAGCTGAGGAACACAAAAGACTCATGAGGAAATGGACTTTCCAAAAGTTTTCGGTCTTAAAAGTGGTTTATGTCAAGACAATACACAGGTGTGCACGGCTGTGCGAAGACTAGCCTCTGACAGGCTTCAGGAGGCGGCTGAAAAGAGTAGACATTGGCCAAATAAAGAGATGACATGCCGGAGGAGTTGTTCCGCTAGAGACTACATTCGTCGGGTGCGGCAAACTGTGCTCTCCAACGGACCAACTCCCCTGAAATGTTATCTCTCTATTTGGACAATTTCTACTCTTTACAGCCGCCTCCCAAAGCCTGGTAGGGGCTAAATGAAGACGCAATTGTAGATGTGAAACCAGGAAAAGTGTGGTTCTTACTTGAGCATTCCTTGCTGCTCGCACAGGACATTTTCTGTACGTCGGGTCCGCTGCAGTGTCCCGGGACGGGGCAGGTCCGGGTGCGGGTACGGGACCGGCCACATCGGGTACACCTGGTCCAGCCGCTCCACTCCGTCCATTCTGGGGCACAGAAAACATGTCACACAGTTAGCGGGGACACGACAGCTGCGGAACCGGGTACGGAACCACAGTCACAGAAACATGGTACACAGGTAGCCCCAGAAATAATGTGTAACTTGCTAGAAAACCCATAAAAGTGTATTGTTAAAACGAAAATTACTGAATTTCGCAAAAAATGCCTGTCAGAAACCCATTGCCATGGCAACACAAAAAATAATTAACTTATTTTACTGATATTCAATTGTTCCCGACAAAAAGTCACCAAGTTTGGTGGTTCTAGCGCAAGCCGTTAAGGCGCTATCGGACATCAAAGTTGGCGCGGGGAATTTTAG